AGGGCAAAGGAAACGTTAGAAGGGTCAAAAAAAACAAAAGTAAAGATATTTAAGAGGAGTCACCAGTGTCAACAGTGAGTCCATCATTCATTGACAAAGCCAGGCATTAAGATAAAGTGTGGGTTCCAGAACCTTCAAGAAAAATGGATGAGTGACCTGAAATAGACAGCAATAACAAGCAGCAAAGAGGTTCATATCATGGGCTTGAATTTGCAGGCAAGTTGGTTGGACATAGGTGTCACTTGTTGCTTTCCCTTTCTCTACATGGTACAGGTTACGTATTCCTCACCTGAAATGTTTGAGAACAGAAGCATTTCAGATTTTGGACTTTGGGATTCTGGAAAATTCATACATACATAATATCTTGGGGATCTTACTTTTGGCATTCATCCTTAGATGCCTAAGCCAGCCCCCACTTATTAAAGATTTTAGCCTTTAACTCACTGTCACTCCCCGTGTTTCTTGGTGACTTCACTATCCATGGGCTCTTCTGTGGCCTTTTGCCTCCCAGTACTCCTGCCTTCTGTTTTCCTTCTGACCTCTCATAACATAGTTCTAACCCCATGCATCACTGAACATTATGCCTTCTTTAGTGTTGTTCAGGCAATGTTATGCAAAACAGTGTTACAAATCAACCCCCAATATAAAGTCTCAGGCATGATGGATGTTTATTTCTTCTTCATATGAAGACTAAAGAGGGACGTGTTAGTAGCAGATGACTTTCCTTTAAGTAGCTGCCCGAGCTTCAGGTGCCGCCATCATCTTCCTAGATCTCTGCACCCACCTTTGTCAAATCAGGAGAGAGATAGAGGTGATATGGATTGCAAATGGGAGCGTTCATGGCCAGGGCGAGCAACTGGCACACATCTCTGTCATCGCCCCATTGTCTGGAGCTCACTCTTACACCCTTACCTATTGGCAAGGGTGGGGTAAGGAATCCAGCTGAGTGCAGTGAAGGAAAAGGAATCAGGCATGCAGCTAGCGCTGCCTCCTTTTCACACACTATTTCACTCAGTGTGGGCCTAGTTCTCACTCCACCTGCGAGGTCTGATGAAAAACTACAATGACGCTTACACTTTAAAAATGTGTTGTAGCAAAAACCACTACTCTTCCGCAGAACACGTCCCCTTTCTGCCAACTCACCTACTCGCATCATGCTTGCTTTGTGAAGCGGTTCTGGAAGTCCTCTTTCATGAGTGTTGTTATTTGCACCATTGTGGCTGGCTTGGTACCCTGAATTCAAAGCATTTAGGTTTCATGGTCATTTTGACCTTGCTGAAGAGCCAGAGGTCACACAGTCAGATCTCAGGAAAAAGGTAGATGAGGACACACCATGTGCAGAGAAGGAAATGTAATAGTGTACCTGACAAAGACTAACCTTTATGACATTTGGGGCCTGATCAGGTCATAGGACTGTTTGTTCTGCAGGAAGTCTGGCAGGAAGCTTAGTGGAAAAGAAGATAACAGGACCTTAGTCCCACTGAATGCTGCTGGGATGGCATGAGAGTTTGCTAAGGTATGTCCAAAGGAACGATAAACATGAAGCCCAGGAAGGCCAAAGTACAGCCCCTGGAGAGGTAAACTATAATGTTCTCACTAGTCCACACATTTTTCCTCCTTTTCTCCTTTTTAGAAAGACTACTAAGTTGCCCTAGAAAATTTCAACTGGGGCTTCAGTCCTAGAGACTGTGCCGCCCCTCAGTCCCATAACTTTGTCTCTCTCTTTTTCTTTTATGTGGCCCATCTCATTCTCAGGACCTGTCACCTCACAGAAACAGCAGCTCCGTTTTTGTGAGCCTGCTTTCCCTTCGCGTGGCATCGTCAACCTTTGCTGTAATTCTGATCGTACCACCTAAGGACGCACAGCGCAGGAATTCCAGAACTGCCTCTGAAAGGGGCAGGCATGATAGAGTGAGAGGGTTCAACAGTCGAGGCAGACTCGAGGGGAGTGAATGGCAGTGTCTTCTACTAGAACAATTTTTAAGTTCAATATTCACTGCATACGTTAATCACATCTCCTATTAGTTTCGGCCCCTTCTTGCTAGCACCGCATGTCTAACAACTACTTAATCCCAAGGACACATCTCTTAACTTTTCGCTGTGTCCTGCCCTTCGTGTCCTTGTTCCCGTTCTCGCATAGCTGACTCTGGGGTCCCACGTTTTCATCATCCCTTGTACACAAGTGCACGCATATTTGCATGTTCGCCTGGGAACATGCCTACACTGGGTTTTTCTGAGACTGCATCTACATCACCAAACAAGACTACAGCAGAAGCCCTGAATCCAGGTGATAGTTATAACCTAAATATATTAGTGCTGCACTGGACCTGCCCACCATGCACCAATTTTAGTAAATTCCTCTAGTTTTTCTTGTCCCTTTATTCCTTCCTCTCTTCAACTGTGTAGTATCTCCTGTGTATTCAGTCTTGTAATTTCCTTACTTTGTGTCACTTTGAAAATAGGAGCTGGGGAGACGGTTCAGTAGAATGAGCACTTCCTTGCCAAGCACAAGGGTCTGAGTTCAATCCCTCGTTCTGCAAA